TATGTATATGTGTGTGTGTGTGTTTGTGTATATATATATATATATATATATATATATATATATATATATATATATATATATAAATGTGTGTGTGTGTATATGTATTCGGTATGGAATCGTACAGAATGTTAGAGTTTACAGTATTGACAAACTACTTTTTATATTTGAATTAAAACTGTAATATACCATAAGCATTGTCTTTAGATCTGTATGAATAATTAATAAGATTTTGGCATAGTTTTCAAAAAAATAGGGCCAGATTTGCAAGTTCTCACTGCACACAGCCAACATTATTGATAAGCTTATCAAACAGCCTTCAGCTTGGGGCTGTCAGACTCCTATCTGCATGCTCTTCATTAGCTACATAACCCTCGTCTGACTTCCTATAAAACAAACCTCAGTACGTGAGGCATCACTACATGGTGTCTTTCAGCCCATTGGCGTGCCCTCTTTCTTGCGCTCATTATGTGTATGATTGTCGGGCACTCCCCTGTATGCTGTATGCAGGGGGAAGGAAGGTATACCCAGCTCTTCTTTGGACAGGCATTGTGAAATATGAAGTGATAGTCAAAATGAAATCCTGCTGGATGCCTAGAAGTGGCAGGGGTCGCAGTCCATAGATATTACCTGTAGCATCTGCATTGAATCCTGTTAATAATAAGTTGTGCATCTTTTTTAGCACGGAAAGTGTTAAGCGTGTTTTCGGCGAGGGCTTTTTATGAGTCTAGCCGCGCCCAGCAAGCTAATGGCTCCAAACCGCAGTGTTTTCACAGATCTCGGCAGACTGAAAGCATGTAAACATTTTTGTTTGTTTGATGCTTTCAAATGTATCATTATTTCGTTTGCGGCTTATTATCTCAGACTGTCCTTTGTCTGGCTGGAATATGAGTGCAGTGGTGATTGCATATTAAAACTCCACAAGATGGGATGGTAGCGCATACATTGGATTTACCATCACTCAAATGCATGGACCCATATTGTGGGACATAAATGGTTACAGTACCATCTCATCCCATTTCCTATGCACCTCTCTGTGAACACATATTCTCTGGAGCCCTTTCCCCAAGGAGTTATCTCAATGGCAGCAATAACCGATTTTTACAGTAAATTGGCTCACATTCAAATTCACTACGATCTGCCTGCAAATTTGGCTCATATTTCATGTAACCAATTCTGTTGAATCTTTCTACATTTCCGGAACCATCGTATCTAGACAGGTTGAAACCCAGTCCACTACATTCCGTATTTTACAGTCTGAATGCCGAGTGATAATACCAGAGTGTGCTTAATAATCCATTCCAGGGGGTGTTTAGACTTTTAGTTAATAACACTGTAACAGTATTTGGAAAGTGCATATTTAGATTCCTTGCAGCTAGAAGCAAGCACACACTATGTCTGCAGATTGGATCTTGTTTTGTCTGTTTTAATTTCCCCTTTCTTGCAAATATATCTTTACAGGGCCGGTGCAAGGAATATCCAGTTTTCATGAGATAGTTCTACAAGTTTAATCACTTAACTCCAAAAGCGGATATTCCACTGATTTCTTTTAACAATTTAGTAGATATACCCACATAGAAAATATGTATTTTTATTTTTTTTTTTAAGGCCACCTGTACAATCCAAAGCTACTCACTGAGAATCCTCTTTTGTGGGGATGCAGTTGTGCGCATGCGCACTCGATCACAACTTTCCCAAGTTTCCCTAGTTCAACTCCTTCAGAAAGGGAAAAGGCAGGTGCATGTTAGTACAGCACGTCTGCCTCTTCTGCTGGCTGTGTGGAGATAAAGGAAGTGGAAGAAAACCTTCCCAGCTGTGTGACACAGGGAGATGTTTTGACCCCAATTATAAAAGGTCCAATTTCTATCGAAATCAGCCATTTTATAAACTGTCAAGGAAATGACAAACCCCAAACATATAAAACACTTCAGCAAGTTGAAATACTTTGCGTGGAATATTCCTCTCTCTTGGCAAACTGCCTTACACATACGCACACTCACAAAAAACTGCCTTATTCATACGCACACTCACAAAAAACTGCCTTATACATACGCACACTCACAAAAAACTGCCATATTCATACGCACACTCACAAAAAACTGCCTTATTCATACGCACACTCACAAAAAACTGCCTTATACATACGCACACTCACAAAAAACTGCCTTATACATACGCACACTCACAAAAAACTGCCTCATACATACGCACACTCACAAAAAACTGCCTCATACATACGCACACTCACAAAAAAATGCCTCATACATATGCACACTCACAAAAAACTGCCATATTCATACGCACACTCACAAAAAACTGCCTTATTCATACGCACACTCACAAAAAACTGCCTTATACATACGCACACTCACAAAAAACTGCCTCATACATACGCACACTCACAAAAAACTGCCTCATACATACGCACACTCACAAAAAAATGCCTCATACATATGCACACTCACAAAAAAATGCCTTATACATACGCACACTCACAAAAAACCGCCTTATACATATAAACACACACTGCCCAAGACACACCCAAAGAAACTGTCAAATACATACATAAACAAAACATAAAAACTGCCTAATGCATACACTCACACTCTGCCCAGTACATACACATGCTGCCTCACACACACATAAACTGCTTTATTGATACATTCTTGCATACTGACTTATAAGTACATTGAAATATGATTATTAAATACATGTAATACATACACCAATACACAAACTGTCTCATCCTCACACACTGCCTAATACACACACACACTGCTGTATAGATGCATACAGGGGTATGGATATATATTTTTTAAATGTACTTGTCCAAGGGACCAAAGTGGACCCATACATAAACACATTGACCTATACAGAAACACACTGACACTCACCAACACTGACCCATACACACACTGCACACTGACCAATACACACTAACACAGACCCTCACCAACACTGACCCAACCACAACACACTGAACACTGGCACAAACTGATCCATACACACAAACTACACATTATCGGACACACAGTAAAGGTTACCTGCAGCACCCTGTGCTCACTTTGCCCTTTATATCGTGTTGGCTGCCGGGTATGGCAGAATAAAAAAAAAAAAGTAATCTTCCTGTCCCAACGCCCAAACTGCATGTCCCAGCCATTGGGCGATATACATTCCACATCTTTGATACAAACTGCATGCTAATACATACATACACTGCTTAATACATACGCAAACTGTCCAGTAGAGAGGCACTGCCTAATACATATACATACACACTCACTAATAGACATACAGTTACTGCCTAATACATACACACACACTGCCTAATTTTCTCTCTCTCTCTCTCTCTCTCTCCCTCTCCCTCCCCCTCCCCCTCCCCCTCCCCTCCCCTCCCCTCCCCTCCCTCCCCCCTCCCCCCCTCCCCTCCCCCTCTCCCTCTCCCTCTCCCTCTCCTCTCCTCTCCCTCTCCTCTCCCTCCCTCCTCTCCTCTCCCTCTCCTCTCCTCTCCTCTCCTCTCCCTCTCCCTCTCCCTCCCCCTCCCCTCCCCTCCCCCTCCCCTCCCCTCCCCCTCCCCCCTCCCCCTCCCCTCCCCCTCCCCTCCCCTCCCCTCCCCTCCCCCTCCCCCCTCCCCCTCCTCCTCCCCCTCCTTCCTCCTCCTCCCCTCCCTCCCCCTCCCTCTCCCCTCCTCCTGCCTCCCCTCCCCTCCCCCCTCCCCTCTCCTCTCCCTCTCCTCCCCCCTCCCCCTCCCCTCTCCTCTCCCTCTCCCTCCCCGCCCCTCCCCCCTCCCCTCCTCCCCTCCTCCTCCCCTCCCCCTCCCCTCCCCTCCCCTCCCCTCCCCTCTCTCCTCTCTCTCCTCTCCTCTCCTCTCCTCTCCCTCTCCCTCTCCCCCCTCCCCTCCTCCCCGGGATCAGGGGCGGGGAGCAGCACATGGAACCTTCTCCCTCCCACTGGCTGCCTCTTCAAAGGACTTCTGGAAGCAGGAACTTGAGAGGAGGGGTTAGAGGCAGGCGGGGCAAATTTTGAATGTTTGGGCCAGGAAAGGAGGGGTTAGTTACGAGAGGAGCAGCATTAAGGGTTTGTAGGTGGGCAAATAGGTTGGGGTTACAACCTATTTGATGAAAGCATTTAATTTGGCTGATTTACAAGGAGGAGGGCTGAAGCAGTAAGAGGAGGGCGCGGAGGCTCTGTCACAGGCAGAGGCAGGATCTCTGTGTTCTCACAAAGCGCCCCACACCACTGCCTAGACTGCCTATAGGAAGTGCCGACCCTGTATTTTGTGCTGTAGTTAAAAAATGGATAAAATATATATTAAGAGAAAAAAGTAATTTTTTTGAAAAGGTAATGTAGACTTTGAATTTTTTTTATTTTTATTTTTTTTAAATAAAAAGAAAAAGGTGCTTAATGACAAATGTAAACTCGCTGTAATTAACCACTTGTATTGCTTTAATCATATCTTGGTTCAGCCCTACCTGTGACTGCATCACCTGCTGATGTCATTCTACATCCCATTCATGAGACTTAATATTAACTGCACTGATGGCTGCCCAGTGACAACACCGTGTCTTCCTACAATGGCTTCCTGATGTAGTTGGCGCCTGCCCATGCTCTATTCAATGCGTTTTGCAGCTCTCCATGGGTTTCTTACATTAATTCTGTGATGTCTCCTACTTTATGTGGCATTTACATTATATCTTGGCAGGAATTCACAGGAGAATTGCCATCTGGATTAAAGATGATTTCTATTATCAGCTATTATAAAATTACTTATTGTTTACACTTGTGCATTAAATGGAATATCAGTGGCGTTTTTTCCCATAAACTCTGTGGTGGCAATGTTATAGGGCCTCCTGTGCTTCAGCCAAGAACAAAGATCTCTACGTTGTGCAATTTGTTGTTGCCAAATGCGGCAACATTATGATTACAGCAAGTTTTACGGTTTACTGGTTTACTCTATGCCACAGATTTGGACTCTGCCATTTTATGTATCATGTGCTGTTACAATGAGATTGACTGATGTGTCGTCTTCATCTCTGCAGGGCCTATTGTCCAGCCTCGTAAAAGTGACCAGCTTAACCCTGGCCAGGAACTGCTTCCAGTCCTACCCTGTTGGGGGCCCATCACAATTCTCCACCATCTATTCACTTAATATGGAACATAATCGTATTAATAAAATACCTTTCGGAATATTTTCAAGAGCGAAAGTATTAAGCAAGCTTAACATGAAGGTACGATTTCATATTTTTGTTGTTTGTGTCTTTTTTTCTTTACCACTATTTTCCTATTCATTTTTCACATTTACCATGATCCTCTCTGGCCTACCCATTGCTTAATTTCCCCCCTTACTCCTCTTCCCGGACCTGCCTGTTTTAAATTTTTGCCACAATGACCCCTCCCATTGCATCTCTACCCCTCCCCACAAGACCTGTCTATTGCTTTTCTTTCCCCTCCATTTCCAGCCTACTCTCTCTTTATTTTCCTTGTTTTTCACAATCCCTTGCATGGCACTGTTGAATTTTTTTCCCCTCCATTTACCCCCAACCCCACTGGCTTTACAGCACCTTATATCACTCTTCCTTTTAGTTCTGGCAGCTATTTTGATGTTGAAATTCCCCTAATGTTATGTGGGATTGAAGCAATATTCACATCTAGTGGCTGGAAAATTATTAACAATTATCACTGGAATTTCTCTCGTTTGAATGCTCAATTAACTCTGATGTGTTAGAAGTAATGTCTGGTGTCATTATAAAGATATGTCTTATTACAATTCATCTTTTATCATAACAGGACAATCAGCTGACCTCTCTGCCTCTGGATTTTGGGACATGGACAAGTATGGTAGAGCTAAACCTGGCCACCAATCAGTTAACCAAAATCCCTGAGGATGTGTCTGGATTAGTATCAATAGAGGTACGGATTGCTCTCTGGTACACCATGCCTTCCAGGTGTCCTGGTTCAGAACCCATGGGGCACTGAAGAATAATACATTCTACACATGTTGCATAATGTGAAAATACGATTAATAAGAGGTTGACCTTCTGAGAAGTCTTTTTGACAATCACTGGTCTGAATTATCACTTTCCTTAGTATCTGAATTGTTTGTGAGTTGTAAAAATAGCATTGTTTTGTTCTCGTCAGGTTCTCATTCTGTCAAACAATCTCTTGAAGAAGCTTCCCCACGGGATTGGGAATTTACGCAAGTTAAGAGAGCTGGATCTAGAGGAGAACAAGTTGGAGTCTCTGCCAAATGAAATTGCCTATCTGAAAGACTTGCAGGTAATCATGCTTACCCTTATATACTTGTGTAAAAGTAGAGTGCAGTTTTGTGACCAACAATTGTGAAATCTGCTATGCCTCGTGGATAAGTAGAGGGTAAAACTTGGGGCTATGAAATTCTGTGATTTTTATAATTATATACACACTCTGCATTATATATACACACTCTGCATTATACACACACACACTCATACAAACACACACTCATACAAACACACACTCATACAAACACACACTCTGTGTGTCTATAATGCAGTGTGTTTATATATATAAACATTTTATTTTTTTTTAAAGAAAAAATTTTTTAATTTTTTTTTTTGGCCCCCCTCCCTGCTTGTTAACTGGTCAAGGAGGGGGCTATCTTAATCTCTGGTGGTCCAGTGGCCTGGATTGTGCAGGAGGGGGACTGGGAACAAGCTGTTACATACCTTTTATAGCAGCTCCGGTCAGCTCCCATCACCTCCGTGCAGCTCCCCTGTCAGCTCCCAGTGTAAATCGTGCGGAGTGTTGCCACGGTAACCTGTGGCAACCCTCTGACGGCTGTGGGTCTCGCAAGACTTACACTGGGAGCTGCACAGAGGTGAAGGGAGCTGACCGGAGCTGCTATAAAGGTATGTAACAGCTTACTGCCAGCCCTCAACAGTAATGAGCCGGTGGTCCTGGTTTGTATTATGGCAATGTAAGTTGCCATAATACAGACCTTGACTCGAGTATAAGTTGAGTGGGGCCTTTTCAGCACAAAAAAATGTGCTGAAAAACTCGACTTATACTCGAGTATATACGGTAGTCCACAAGACTGTTTCTTCAAATTAGCTCTGCCATCTGACCAGTACTAGCTTGTAAAGGCTTTATATGTATTTTATTGATATGTACCTCAGTGAACTTCACATTTCAGTGTCTCGGATCATGAGTTTAATATCCATGATTACATTTTCTGTTTTTTTTTTTAATTTATTTTTTTCCTAAATAGACACAGAAAAAAATGACATCAAATTAAACTATTATTAAATATACTACTAATGTCCTGAAAAAGTACTAATTTTTTTTTTTTTTTAAAACATTAACAAAGTATTGACACGTGATTTGTTGATTAAAGTAAATATCCATGTAATTATTATGGGGGGTGACAGATGCACTTCAGAAGTTGACAGTTAATCTACTACCCGTTTTTTTGTTAAGGTAACACTATAGCGTGTCACTGCCCCCCTCCTCCCCGCTGCAGCAATGAAAGGGTTAAAAAAAACCTCTTTTTACTTACCTTATTCCAGCGTTGGCTCTGTTTCAGCTTCTGCTGACGGGGAATCTAATGAGCGAGCGCCGAGTGTGCATTAGGCCATTCCCATAGGAAAGCATTGAATCATTGCTTTTCTATGGAGTTTTTGAAGACGCTAACATTCTCATACAAAGTGTGAGGACGCCCAGCATTGTTTCACAGAGTAAAACTCTGAAAAACAGCTGGAGTAGACCGCCAATAATAGCAGTCTTAACACTGCTTTGTTTTACATTGCAAGGCTAAGGGAATAGGAACACTGCACAGAGACCACTTCAATGACCTGTCCCTTTCAGCAATGTGATGAGCACTTGGAGCCAAATGTATTATATCTTAAGTCACTCATAACATGACAGAGAAACTGTGTTTCTTTCTTAACAAGCCATTTTATTTTTATTAACAGAAACTTGTCCTTACAAATAACCAGCTGACGACCTTACCAAGAGGAATCGGCCATCTCACAAATCTAACACACCTTGGCCTTGGTGAAAACCTTCTCAGTCACCTACCAGAGGAGATAGGTGAGTCCCTTATAGCCACACTCCTGGAAATTAAATCTTGTCAGGGCATGATTACATGGTGCTTGGAGTTTTGTCAGGGCATGATTACATGGTGCTTGGAGTTAGCTGTGTCATGAACTCTCCATCACACTTTCCTTGATTTTCAAGCATGAGCGTTAAAGGGATTCTCCAATGCCTAAATACAAAATAAAAATCACTATTTAGTAGATATACCCCAGATGAAAACTTGCATGCCTTTAGTAATTTTTTCATTGGGGTAGATCTAAAAACCATTAGCAAAACCTGCAGTTCTCTTGTCTGCTGCTTTTGCAAGCCCTCCCCTTCTAACCCTGCCCAGAGTTTCTGTGGCTGTCCAATCACAGACTTCCCAATGCAGCTCAATGAGAAGTCTTTGCAAGGCAGGTGCTCTGGGCGATTGCTGCCTCTTGAGTTTAGTTCCACTGAGCTAACCAAACCAGGAAGTAACACGACTTGTCTGCTTGAAAGCCAAGGTGGTATAACCAGGTTAATATATAAAAGTGTAAATTTCTATTAAAATCTGCACTTGTTGCAAAATGAAAAAAGACACACGATTCACACAAAGCTTTTCAGCAAGACAGTGCTTTAGGTGCTAAAGTGTTTGCGTGTCCCCTTAAGAGCATTAGACTATGTAGATAGCTCATTCTCTTTGCATAAGTTATAGTGCGATGAGGTCCCATCTTCTGTCTTCTAGTTGCATACAATTACAGTAGCTTGTTAAACTCATTACAAACTTAAGCAAACCCCCTCACTTAAATACGCTTCTGGCTGTTTAGGGTCGTGAGCCTGTGCAGATTCCCACCTCTCCGAGCAGGCTCCTTCACAGGCTTTTGTAAAGGATCCTGTGCTGGTCCTTTTTACACACTTGCTTCTGTCTTTAGCTCCATTGATGAAGCCATGAATGGAGCTTTTTTTTGTAAGCCGATATCCACCATGGTGCAGCCTTTTTGCTTAGGCTGCACTTACGTTGGCATAAAATACACAAGATGGCTATCAATGTCTTTGTGAGTCTTTTTTATTTTATTTTTTTATGCATAACTTGGATAACGCTTTTAAAAATTGTGGAATAAATACAGTCTGGAATATCTTTTAAATGTAGCATTCATCCTGAGCAGAATACATTTTCTAGTATAAAGCCTGCAATTTTGCTAATTGGAAAACTACAGATGGTCCACTTGGCTTTCACCTGCCTAATCATCTGGTTTTATATAATGACTCTTTTTAAAAGATTGTTATAGTAAGGGGCCACCTAGTGGTAGTATATGAGACCTCCATAGCGATCTCTCTTAGTTGCTGTGAATTAAATTGTGTAACTTTTTCTGTGCTATATTCTGTGTGTATTGCATTGTAATAAATCTTGACTTTAAATCGTCTATCTTACAGGTACACTGGAGAATTTAGAGGAGCTCTATCTGAATGATAACCCCAACCTGCATGGCTTGCCGTTCGAGCTGGCTTTATGCAGCAAACTGTCAATAATGAGTATTGAGAACTGCCCGCTCAGCCACCTACCGCCACAGATTGTTGCTGGAGGCCCTTCTTTTATCATTCAGTTTCTGAAGATGCAAGGGCCTTATCGTGCCATGGTTTAATGCAAGTTAAATGTCCCACACACTGTACAATACTGCATTCATGTTGTGTTAATATATATCTATATCTGGCCAAGGATGGAGGTATAGATATATAAATCTATATATATGTATATGTATTGAAAGGCAAATTTATTAAGACTGCATTATGTGTTTCTGCTAATAGAGGAATCATAGCCATTTAGATTTTTATTATTATTACGTAAAGAATAAGAATTGCTTTGTCTGAGCTCTTTCTTTGCTGAATTTGGTGGGTTTTCTGCCCTTTTTGTTCCTTTTTTTTATTTTTATTAAATCTGAAATGCCAGCTTACTCCAGATTGGCTGCCATTGTTTTTCAGTTGTAATCACTGTTGACCAGAGCCTGTAGTTCTGGTTCATTGGCCATTTTGCAAAAATAGCAAGACACTTATTTTTTTTTTTTGTTTACCCATCTGTACCCACCTCAAATCACCTTCATGTAAATTGCCAACTGCCCACTTGCTGATGTCGTTAACTTATTTTCTAGAATTTTTTGTTTTGATAATGTATCGTTTACAGTCTGCGTTATGTCACCATATCCTTGAAGATGGTCTGCTCTGGTTTTTATGCTTCCTGTGGAGATATGCCAGTTTTGTCATTTATATTTAATTGTGAAATGACTTCTGTTAATACAACCGAGATGCAACAAACGTGTGCCCTCCTAGTCTTTCCGCAGCTTATCTGACTGCTGTGACCATGGCCTTTTTCTTTCTTTGTATATAATACCTGGCGGTGATGAGCATACTATTCTTATTCACATTGCAAACATTATCACATATCAAAATGTGCTTATTGGCTGTGCACTATTTTTTAAAACATTTTTATAGTAATATCTATGTGCATATTATTTGCATTCCCTTACAGGTGTAAGTGATTTTGACTGCAGAGTTGTTAATTACAAAAATACTTTGCTTTTATTTCCATACAGGTAAATGCTTCACTCAATATGTAAAGGTCATTTACACTGCTTTACAATACCCTTTTCTTCACACAGTGGTATAAGGCTAGATTTTGTTTGCAATTCAACATCACTAAGTAACCGCTTTGAAGCACGAAACCTCGCAAGGGCTCTAAACCAGGGTCAAGTGATCTGCATGCTTTTTTTTTTTAGATGATCAAAGGTTAAAACTGCATTGTAATAGACAAGTGTCCGCTGCCTACCTGCTATTTGGTACCCAGCAGTTTTCAACGAACAAGGCAACTGGGATGGTCCTTTCATCTCAACCTATTAGTTAAAATTCATCCTTCACCATTTCTGACCAGCAAGATTCTTTAGAGTCTTAAATATGGTGCTGTCAAGTCATGAAAAATCAGTATTTCCACTATTGTGCCATTTTTTTTTTTTGCTTGTTCCGTTTTTACCTATTTGTGGTGCCAAGCTATTTCTTTGTTCTTATGCGTTCAGTCTCTGTGTGCCATGTTCATGCAACATTTTTATTGGTCTCCAGTTTTGTTTGGTTTTTTTTTTTGCCATGATTTGCATCTTATATGTGCTGCCTTCTAAACCATAAGACGACCTTGAATCAACTTTACGAAGAATGCAACACAACAGCATCTGTAGAAGCTATATTGCATGGAGTTTTGCGTGGTCTTGGGTGAATGTGGATGAAGAGAATTGTGCTTGGCTTGCCTTTAGAAACAGTGTCCACCTCTCATTGTGTGCAATGTCAACATCACTCTTCACCAGCACTCTATGGTACAGTTGAATTTGCTAGGAATGCACACCTGTTACAGTTTATAATATTAGTATGATGGCCTTATGTCTTTAAAAAGCCAGTAAGTCAGTGAGTGCTGAAACATGATTTATCAAAAGATTTCTATTTCCCATTCAGGGTTTTTATGCAACGCAGTGGAAATGATTCCAGTTCTAGTTATGCAACAGCAGAAACCTTTTATTCTCCCATCACAACAGGATTATTATAGTTGTAATTTTTAAACTGGCTTCTAATTTCACCCGACAGAAACCAAAATGATCCAGCACGTGATTTTAAAATGTATTTGGTATCCAGCAGTTCCCATGTTCCCAAGCATTGTGCCAAAGCAGAGTCCAGAATATTTTCTCAATCTGCTGCCCCACCTTCATTCAAACCTGTGTCTGTAATAAAATTTTATATATATATATATATATATATATATATATATATATATATATATATATATATATATATATATATATATATATATATATATATATATAAATATATGTAGAACTGAACTTAGAAGCTTGAGTTTAAAAAAAAAAAAAAAAAAAAGTCTGAGCGGTTTATTGAATTATAGTGAATTGAAAACAAAAGTGACAAAAATTAGTCCAAAGTTGGCGATATCTAAAATTTCTCAACTTCTGCTGTTGTCACAACTTTGTTATTATGGCCTAAATGTTGCAATCTGTTTTCCGTTTACTGCAATTTTTTGTTTAGTGAGCACATCAATGAGTAACATGGGTACGTTTAAGAAGCATTATGCTCAAGACACTTAAAAAGTTAAACATAGTGTAATGTCTTCTTGAATTCATCCACACTGAAGTTATAACACAAAAGTTTAGATGAAATACTTTTTTCAAGAATTGTGTAGGAGTTCCTGGTGAAATATATATAATTTTGTATGGTGTTGAAATTGTGTGTATAAACGTTTGAATGAAATAGTGCTGCCTACA